CCGGAGGAAAGGCCCCGGCTCCCCGGCTGCGGACGCCCCCTGAGCCCCCGTCTCCCGGCAGGAGAGACTTTCCTCCCCTACTACACGGGCCGGGCCATCGATGGCATTGTCATCCAGAAGAGCATGGAGCAGTTCAGCACGGCCATCATCATCATGTGCTTGCTGGCCCTCGGCAGGTAGCCGCTCGCAGCCCCGCCCGCCCCGCAGGCCACAGTGGGGACAGGGGTCGGGGCAGCTCCTAAGGGGCAAAGGAGTCAGAGGGGCCCCAGAGATGCCCCTGGTGGGCCTGGTCCCCAGCTGGTCACTGCAGGAACCAACAAGCAGCTGGCTCAGCACCCGTGTCCCTCTGGTTGAGCCATGCCCTCCTCCAGGGCTCCCCTGTCGCCCTCCCCGCTGGTTTCCAAGGGCCAGCCTTGTGTGCTTTCTGAAGGGGAGGGGTCCAGCTGGCGAAGCTGAGCCCTTTCCCCCCATAAACACAGCCCCCTTTTTGCCCCCACCTTGGGGGCTCCGGGTGGGGACCAAGCCCCAGGAGGCTGCGCCGGGGCCCCGGGCCTGCCAGCAGCGGGAGGGTCGGTGGTTTGGTGGTGGGTTGCTGGAAGGACGCCGTGCTATGTATAACATCTCTTATCTGCAATTAGCTCATTTGCCGCAGGTATTCGGGGCGGCATTTTTACCCTCATATTTGCCAGACTGAACATCCGCCTCCGGAACTGTCTCTTCCGCTCACTGGTGTCTCAGGAGACGAGCTTCTTTGATGAGAATCGCACAGGTGGGTCCCCCCGGGGCCTTGGGTCAGGGTGGGCTTGCCTTGCGCCGAGGAAATGGATGGGCGCGTTGGCGGTCTCCAACGCGCTGGCCCTTCCTGCCGACCAGCGCAGGATGGAATTGGCCTAGGAGGCAGGCTCGGGCCTCCGGGAGGCCTGAGCCCTGGGGAGCTGGCCTGCTCGCCGAGGTTTTGGTGTGAGCTGTGGCCACTGTAGGACCCTGGCCAGGCCACCCGAGGTCCCTGCAGCAGCCAAGGCCCTGCTTCCCACTGCCTTCTGGGAACCGCAGGGACTACCCATGCCCGTGGCCGAGAGGGCCCAGATCCTCTGGGGTGAGTGGGGTGGGGGTGCAGGGCCAACATCGCAGGCTCTGGGATGGACCAGCCTGGGCCCAAGCCCTGGTGCTATGGCTCAGTAATGTAACCTCGAGGCCTCTGTTTTCTCATCTCTAAAATGGGAACAAGAGCAATAGCCACCCCGTGGGGTTGTGAAACTCTTAGCTCAGCGTCCAGCAACTGGTAAAAGGGCCTCGGCTCCTTCCTCCCGCAGCCCAGATTTTATTTTTGTGGGAGGGAATCAGGGATTCACCTCTCTGCCAGGGACAGTGAGGAGACAAGGGTTTGGTTCCAGCTCAGTCACAGACAATCCGTGTGGCGCTGAGCAAGCGTGCTCCCCCTTCCGAGTCTCAGCTGCCTCCTCTGTGCCCCATAGATCCCCGTTTGGGGGATATAACATCACAAAATGCCAGTGACAAGGGCTGGGCTCAGAGCAGCCCTTAAGGGGGCATCCACTCTCCTCCCCTCCCCATCCCCCTAGAAGATGGAGGAGGCCCGAGCTCCTGGGTGCCTCTCAGTGTCCCCTGCCCCCGCCTGCAGTGGCCCCGTAGCCACAGCGGGAGCTGGGAGCTGAGCTGCCTGTGTTCCAGGGGACCTCATCTCCCGCCTCACCTCGGACACCACCATGGTCAGCGACCTGGTCTCCCAGAACATCAACGTCTTCCTGCGGAACGCAGTCAAGATCACGGGCGTGGTGGTCTTCATGTTCAGCCTCTCCTGGCAGCTCTCCCTGGTCACCTTCATGGGCTTCCCCATCATCATGATGGTGTCCGACATCTACGGCAAGTACTACAAGGTAGGCCGTGGGCTCGGACGGCTCCGGAGTAACCCCTCGGGAGGGGCTCGGGAGCCCCGGGGGGCTAGTGAAGGACTTGTCGGCCAATAAATATTTACTGAGCACCTACTACATCCCAGGCAAAAAGATACATCAGTGAAACCGATAAGAGCCCCGCCCTCAGGGAGCGTAAATTCCAGTGGGAGACACAGAGGATGAATAACAGCAAAGATAGTGACGTGTAATATGGTAAAAGATGGTCAGTGCTGAGGGGAATAAAGAAGTGATGAAGAGAGATTGGGGGCAGCTGCAGCTGTAAATAGATCTTCCCGAGAAGGTGACATTTGGGTCAGGAGTCGGCCATCGGGGGGAAGCACATTCCAAGCAGAGGCACAGCCAGTGCAAAGGCCCTGGGGTGGGAACGTGCATCTGAGGAGCCTCAGTGAGGCTGGAGTGATGAGCGAGGGGGAGGAGAGGAAATGAGAGTGGGGAGGTGCCGGGGCCAGGCTTAGTGAGAACTTCGGTTTTCGCTCTGAGTGCAAAGTTCACTCTTTCTGTGGAGAGTCTGTTTGTGGGGGGCTGCTTGGGCCCCCGTGAGCGAGGCCCTTGCCCCTGCCCTGGCTCACTCACCTTCTGCCTCCCAGGTTGGTGGGTGCCCCAAGCCCCAAGGGACCCAGGCTGTGCTCGGACAGCTGCAGGGGGCCCTGCCTCAGGGGTCCAGGCCGGAAGGGCGCGGGGGGCTCCTGAGCGGAGAGCTCTGACACGTGATCACCTGGGAGGAATCCTTGGTGTTTGTGACCTGATCCAGCTCCAACAAGAATCCATTCCCCACAACCCTCGTGTCACCTGGCAGGGCCGCCGCCGGGAGGGCCCGCTCACCGCCTGCTCTGGGTCACGGGTCTCACTGTTTTCCTCCCCAGTAGGAAAAGTAAACTTGCCAGTTGGAGTTGGAGCCAGTTCCCTTCCTGCGCTCCCCACCCCGCCCTTCC